AGAAATCCAGAGATGAAAGACAAAATGCCAAATATTGTGATTAGATTTTGTTCAAAGTACAATATAAACTGTACATTTGAATCTGCATCAGATAAGTTTCCATTTTATGGGTTTGCATGGAAAAACAAAATGTAATTTTTCATATATAATTTAATTCTAATAATTTTAATGTATTTTTTTCTTATTATGTTGTACAATCATTTACCAAAAAAGTAAAAATCCAATTAAAAATTAATAATTTTATCCAAAATGTATGTGATGGGTATTTTTTTATGCATATTAATGGATTTGCATACTTAAATTGGAGTATGCAGAAATTCATTAAAAACACACACAAAAAATCTAATTGAATCATTATTGTGTGTGTGTGTGTGTGAGTGAGTGTGAGTGTGAGAGTGTGTGTAATCTGTGAGTGTGCGAGAGAGTGTATGTATGCAGAAATTCATTAAAAACACACACAAAAAAATCTAATTGAATCATTAATGTGTGTGAGTGTGTGTGTGTGTGTGTGTGTGTGTGTGTGTGTGTGAGTGAGTGTGAGAGTGTGTGTAATCTGTGAGTGTGCGAGAGAGTGTATGTGTGTGTGTGTGTGTGTGTGTATGTGTGTGTGTGAGTGTGTGTATGAGTGTGAATGTGTGTGAGAGTGTGTATGAGAGTGTGTATGTGTGAGTGTGTATATGTATATGTCTGTGTGCATTTCTAAGCATCTCGTTGTAAAATATCATCTCAATAAAAGAGCAAATACTAAAATGGCAAAAGACAGTCGTACTGTTACACACTCAATAAATGTGTGTGTGGGGGGCAGATCGGTTTCACTGACCCCTTCAGTTCTGTACCCTGCTGAGGTCACTGCTGCCACGGTTACATTACACTGACCAGCAACCGTCACCATGGCAACCGTTCCCAGGGGCCACTGCTTGCCTCCCATCAACGGCCCATAGAGACACACACACACACACAAGCTTTCTTGTTGTAAATTACTTTAGACACACATACAGACACAATGTCTCTCTCACACACACACACACGTTTGATATACTATAGGTGACATTACGGCTTCTCTAGAGCCTCTAATGAGCCGTCCACTGCCTACACAGAAAACCACCTTATATTTTATTTTTCAGGAATCTTTGATACAAAGAAAGTTTAAAAGAACAGAATTTATTTGAACATCCATTTTTTTTATTTCAGATAAACACATCTATAATTGAAAGTCTTTATCTTATGGGAAAACGGATCACAAATATTGATGACTCATCTTGCACCACACATATTTTTGTCCAATCAGATGCTCTCTAGAATTAGAATGCCCCGCCCCCTAAAACCACCAGCAAGCAGAACACAGAACCGAAACGTTCTGTGTCAATAGGAAATGCATCAACACAGAAGAAAAAGAAAAAACTGTATAAAGTATAAAGTACAAAAACAAAGAACAGAAATGATCTGCCGTTAGAGGTTCAGAACAAACTCGAAGCAGAATGTTTGAGGAACATCAATACAACACAAACACTGAAATAAGACCTGCGAGGGAGGGCGGGATCGAACGCGGGTTTGGACCAAACAATCGAACTGAGTGTGAAAACAGCCGCAGACACATCATACCCTGTGTGTTTCACACTCCTCGCCTGCTTTGATGGGCGGCGTGTCTGGAGGTTTGAGATGGCCAGGTTAGTGCTGGTAAACGCAGCTGAACGTGTCTGTGGTTGAGAGGGGAAAGCAAAGCGGTTCCCATCGCTGAGATCCTGGGGTGAATCTCAAAGATTTCTGATTCACCACAGAATCTCCTGGAGAACTCTTCCCACGACCTGGAGTGTGTGTGCTGGTTCATCTGTGGCCAACTACATCAAAGTGTGGACCAAGAAGAGGAAAACATTCTCTGACACTTTCACCTGTAATCCTGCAGAGTCACTGTAAGAGCTTATGGACGTACTGGGGTGCTAGTGTTCACAGAAATGAATAAAAGTTGGAACAGACAGACAGACAGATGATAGATAGATAGATGATTAATGGATAGATAGATAGATAGATAGATAGATAGATAGATAGATAGATAGATAGATAGATAGATAGATAGATAGATAGATAGATAGATAGATAGATAGATAGATAGATAGATAGATAGATAGATAGACAGACGATGGATAGAAAGATAGATGATAGATAGATAGATAGATAGATAGATAGATAGATAGATAGATAGATAGATAGATAGATAGATAGATAGATGGATAGATGGATTGATAGAAAGAAATAGATAGATAGATAGATAGACGATAGATAGATAGATGGATAGATAGAAAGATAGACAGACAGACAGACAATAGATAGAAAGATAGATAGATGATTAATAGATAGATAGATAGATAGATAGATGGATAGATGGATAGATAGATAGATGGAAAGAAATATCTGTTTGTCTATCTGTCTTATGTGTGTATTGTGTATATGTGCGTGTGCTGCCTGATATTGACCCGTCAGGAGTGTTCAGTGTAACACTCACGGGAACTGACAGCATCCACGTACTGCGGCAGATACGGAGCCCACAGGTCAATGGTGTCCTTCCGGCCCGACTGACCAATCCTGCGCAGCTCAGCCAAGAGGAGAGCCTGGGCCGCCTCCCGAACCTGAAACACACACACACACACACACAGAGATATCAAGTTTACACACAGATACTGCAGCGCTCCAGTTGAAAAGGCTCTCTTTAAGAAAGTGGAGTTATAACTGAAGCCCCCCCCCCACACACACAACACGTGTCAGGTTTACACACGCTCCTGTCGAAAAGGCTCTCTCTAAGAAAGTGCAGCTCTAACTGAAGCCACACACACACGTGTCAGGTTTACACACAGATACTGCAGCACTAGGGCTGGGTACCGAGTTCGGTACTTTTTAGGTACCGACCGAATTGCCTCGATACTACCGAGTATCGAAACATGTCTTGTTTTTCGGTACCACATTTCGGTACCTAAGTGGTTAATCTCGTCAACGTCAGTGAAACAATAAGCATGCAGCATGATTGGCTGTGGCGGAAAAACACTAGTTTACGCGGCTGCCCAGAGACGCGGCTCGTCGCACGTGAGGCTGCAGTGTGTGTGTGTGTGTGTGTAGCGTGCGTCCCAACCCAGATAGATAGAAAATATGTGGAAATGATCCAAAGTGTACCTATGTCATGTGCCAGACTCGATGCCAGATGCACGCGATGCAATATTTTCGACAAGATCATTGCTGCCAAGACCGGCAACACGGTAAATCTAGGCACTGAAGCGCACAAAATACACTTGAGAGTAATGGTGTTCACATCGAACGCGAATAGAGCGTCAAATACGCGTCTATCGCGTCTAGTTCGACGCTTGAATCTTTAGCTCGAGTTCAAATTTTTCAACTTGCACGGAAGACGTTCGCGGCAAACGCGTCGCCCAATTCGCGTCATTCGCAACGCCCGGCGCGAATGATGCGTCTATTCGCGTCTTTGCATTGACTATGTATGTAATCTACTCGCACAAATAATTAAATTCGCGTTCGGTGTGAACACACCATTAGTAAACATTTGTTCATTAATAAACAATTAAAATATCTCCTTGCTATTGTTTCCACATCCATAATCATTAGGCTACTTTTGCCAGTGCTTTGCTGCAAGCTTCACGTGCAGGTATATATCCCGCCCCCCAGTAGCCTATATTTAATTTAATTCACATTTATTTGTATAGCATTTTTCACAATACATATCGTTTCAAAGCAGCTTTACAGAAAATGCATGTCTAAATTACAATTTAGAGTGATCTGTTATCAGAGGTGACAGTGTAATGCATTTCAATTAATTTTCATTCAGTTTCATCGTTAATTAATGCATTAAGTTAAAGCAGAAACAATGAGCTCATTGAAGTAAAGAATACATGTTGTTAAATGATTAGGAAACATAGAAAACTTTAGCATTGGTGCTTTTTTACATACTCAAAATATGAGTGTAAAAAAGTCAACAAACTGAAAAAAAAATTAGGTAATGTTATATTGTTAAACCTGGTTACATAAAATTGGTATCGAAAAAAGTATCGTCCAGGAACCGGTTTCGAAGTCAAGGTATCGGTATCGGTATCGGTATCGGTACCGAACATTTTGTTACGATACCCAGCCCTATGCAGCACTCCTGTTGAAAAGGCTCTCTCTAAGAAAGTGCAGCTCTAACTGAAGCCACACACACACACACACACACGCACACACACACGTGTCAGGTTTACACACGCTCCTGTCGAAAAGGCTCTCTCTAAGAAAGTGCAGCTCTAACTGAAGCCCCGGCAGCCGAACTCAAATGCCAGACCGCTGAGATGAAGCGCAGGAATAAAGCACGAGCCTGAAAGAAGCCATTGAGAGAGATGGAGTGTGTGTCTTTGTCCCGCGGGGTTAGCAGGTGCTAAAGCTGCGAGATACGAGTGAAAGTGAATGCGAGAAGAGAGAGAGAGACAGAGGGGGACCCTTGGAGAAAAAGGATTAAGGATGCTTAACAGAGCGTCTCTTTCTTTTCTTTCTCTTTCTCTGTCAGTCTTCCTTCATTTCTCTCTCAGTGTGGCGTACGACACCTCTGCGGTCACGGGCGTCACACTCTGACACACACAGATCGCTTGGCTCACAAAAACAAAGGACTAGGGATGCACGATATATCGGCCACCATATCGGTATCGGAAAATATATGTTCATTTTTATGTTATTTTTAATGTTATTGTTATAAATAATGTATTACTTCCTTCAGCTGAGACGCTTCAGATGCGCACTGTTCACCATGATGGTTTTGAATTGCTTGAAATATGATTGAAATCACTTCAAAAAAGGAAAATACAGTTAAGTGAACATGCACAACAAAAGTCTGTCATATAAGCTATATAAAATTATCATGAGAACATTATGAGTGTGTGTTTGTATCGGTTATCGCCTTTCAAATATAAAGAATTATCGGTTATCGGCTTTCAAATATAAATAATTATAGGTTTTCTGCATACAAATATAAAGAATTATTGGTTATCTGCTTACAAATGTAAACAATTATCGGTTATCGGCTTACAAATATAAAGAAATATCGGTTATCGGCTTTCAAACATAAATAATTATAGGTTTTCTGCATACAAATATAAAGAATTATCGGTTATCAGCTTACAAATGTAAAGAATTATCGGTTATCGGCTTACAAATATAAAGAATTATCGGTTATCGGCTTTCAAATATAAATAATTATAGGTTTTCTGCATACAAATATAAAGAATTATCGGTTATCTGCTTACCAATGTAAAGAATTATCGTTATCGGCTTACAAATATAAAGAATTATCGGTTATCGGCTTTCAAACATAAATAATTATAGGTTTTCTGCATACAAATATAAAGAATTATCGGTTATCAGCTTACAAATGTAAAGAATTATCGGTTGTCGGCTTACAAATATAAAGAATTATCGGTTATCGGCTTACAAATATAAATAATTATCGGTTACTGGCTTAAAAATATAAATAATTATAGGTTTTCTGCATACAAATATAAAGAATTATTGGTTATCAGCTTACAAATATAAAGAATTATCGGTTACTGGCTTACAAATATAAATAATTATAGGTTTTCTGCATACAAATATAAAGAATTATCGGTTAACGGCTTACAAATATAAAGAATTATCGGTTAACGGCTTACAAATATAAAGAATTATCGTATCGGCCAAAATTTTCATATCGGTGCATCCCTAAAAAAATATTTGAATAAAATAAACAAATATGTAACTATTGAAATATCAATAGGTCTTTTCCGGATAGTTCTAGGAACGAGCCGCCAGGGTGTTTCCCCGAGAACAAATGGTTCCCCTAGGAACGTTTTCCTGGTTGCATTCGCACCGCTAGTAGGAACTGAAGTGACGTGAGCCGCGCATGTTGTTGTGACTTTTATTTTGACGGCGCTGAGAACGCCAGAGCCTGAGCTCACAGTGCTCACATTCTCCATGTTCATTAGTTTACGATCTGTCAAACAGCCCTGTCTAACACATTATTAGATAGACCTGTTATACATAGAAAGTAGACAGTAGCGAAACGTTATTAGCGTTTGCCGTGTGGTTGATGTCCCGTGTCACTAGCTGAGCAGAAATACATAATCATGTTCTCTTTCATAGGTTCACTCAACGCTGCGGAAAGCGCAGTGGGATATTCTCTGAATGTGCCGATTGTCTGAAGCCTTATAGAATCACGCCAATTCATTGGCTGATGGCGTCCGCGCGATATGGCTCCGCCCCGACGCTCTTACGTCGCATCATTACATATTCGCGCTCGCCATCTGCTCCTCAGATTTCTCTACCTTCAGAACGAAGCGGTCACGTTGCCCTTCGCTCGTGATTTTTCTGAGCTACATCTAAGGATTATTCTCGGCGCTTCTGCGACTGTTCAAGCGGAACTCTGTTTCTCCTTACGGTGAAGTTGCCATGGATTACAGACGCTGTACTCCGCCATGTGCTCGTTACATTGCTAACGACGACCCACACAGTAAGTGCGTTAAGTGTTTGGGTTTTTCACATGCACGTGAGGCAGTTATAGGATCGTCTAAATGCAAATTCTGTGAAAATTTGTTGTTCGGGCCTACTCTTGCCGACGAGGTTATCCCGCCGAGCGGCCAGGAAGCGCGGCCTACTGCGGCCTACGCTGAGCTCGTTGACGTGCTTTCGCGCGCTACGGAGAAGCTCACTATTGATTGGCCCGACGAGCCACGTGAGTCTCAGTCGTCGAAACTTGACGAAAGGCTTCTCAGTGGCCCTAATTCTAGGCCTCAACGGAGGAAGCTGCCATTTTTAGGTGATCTGCATCTCCAGATCCTGGAAGCAGCCTTTCTCTTCGCGCCTCACTAATGCGGCTGCTGCTGATTTTACCAACCTGGTAGGCTCTGTGGAACAGGGCTATTCCGCCATTCCGGCGATTGAGGAAACTTTAGCCGACCATCTTGCTCCGTCGTCTGTGCCGTCCTGGAAGTCGCGCCCCTTCCTCCCTTCTAAAGCATGTAGGACTACTTCCTCTCTCATTGGGAAATCCTACATGGCGGCTGGGCAGGCAGGCATGACCCTGCACACTATGGCCATTCTTCAGGCCTACCAGGCGGACGTCCTGAAGGAAATGGACGAGGGCGACGGCGTGACTCCTGAAGCGGTCAAGGAGCTTCGTAAGGCTACGGATTTAGCCTTAAGAGCCACCAAGCATAGCGCACGCGCTATAGGTCGCTCTATGGCTGGTTCTGTTGGGGTGGAGCGCCACTTATGGCTTAATCTCACGGAGATCCGTGACAAAGAGAAGGTTTTCCTCTTGGACGCCCCCATTTCTCAAACGGGGTTGATTGGTGAGGCGGTCAACACAGTGGTTGAGAAATTCCGCTCCTCCAAATCCTAATCGGCTGCATTCAGACAGTTCATGCACAGGAGGGCTAGGGAACCTTCTTTCCGTTTTCCTCCGGAGCAGGCGGATCTGGTCACCATGACCCCAGCATCGATGCCTCCCATCACGTGCCAGGACGCCGATGGCCCTCCTGCACAGTCAACCTCTTTACTCCAGGAGCGTCAGCACGGCACCCTCACTCAGGTATGTCGTCTGCATTACAACATCCCTCCTCCTCTATCACATTTCCTTCCAGAGTGGGAGCGCTTACCAGGGGTATCGTCTTGGGTTCTTCGCACAATTCGGTTCGGCTACACTCTTAAAAACAGTTTTGCCACAATCCCCCCTGTTTCAACGGGGTGTTTCCTACTGTAGTAGACAGCGCCACTCAGGCTTCTGTACTTCAGCAGGAAATCTCTTCCCTCCTTCTCAAAGGAGCAATAGAGGAGATTACTCCAGGGGAAACCGAGCGGGGCTTTTACAGCCGTTACTTCCTGGTCCCGAAGAAGGGCGGCGGTTTGCGTCCCATACTGGACCTCCGCCGACTGAACTTCGCCCTTTACAAAGGGAAATTCAAGATGTTGACGCTGAAAGCTATCATATCTCAGATTCGGCCAGGGGATTGGTTCGTGACAATAGACCTAAAGGATGCTTATTTTCACATCCAGGTTGTACAGCGACACAGGCAGTTCCTCAGGTTCGCCGTTGGAGAAAGGGCGTTCCAGTACAGGGTCCTTCCCTTCGGCCTATCTCTGGCCCCGAGGACATTCACAAAGTGCATGGATGCAGCTCTGGCCCCATTGCGGCTCCAGGGCATCCGTGTTCTAAATTACCTGGACGATTGGCTTATTTTAGCCCAGTCCAGGAAGCTAGTGGCCCACCACAGAGACATCGTTCTGAGTCATATCCAGTCTCTCGGTTTGAGGTTGAACTCGGAGAAGAGTGTTCTTGCTCCGGCTCAGAGCACCGTTTTCTTGGGGGTGAACATGGATTCCGTTCTCATGCAGGCCCGCTTGGCCCCTGCACGGATTTCCAGCTTGATGACATGCTTGGCTCGTTTTTTGCTAGGCCATCATGTGTCTGTGGGCACCTGCCGCAGGATGCTGGGCCTTATGGCTGCGGCCTCCTCCATGCTACCGCTGGGCCTACTCCACATGAGACCCTTCATGTGGTGGGTGAAACTCTCAGGGGTTCGACCCTCCGGGTCAACCCTTCGCCTACTGAAGGTATCGCGCAGTTGCTTTCGAGCCCTGTCAGTTTGGCGGGACCCTCTTTTTCTTCGGAAAGGGGTCAGCATGGGTGCGGTATCTCGTCGCCAGATGATTACGACAGATGCCTCTCTCACCGGCTGGGGAGCGGTTTTCGAGGGCAGACCAGCGTGTGGGGTCTGGACCGGAGAGGCTCTCTCTTGGCACATAAACTGCCTGGAGTTAAGAGCCGTTTTTCTGGCTCTGCATCATTTCCTCCCTCTTCTGGAGGGTCACCATGTTATTGTCAGAACAGACAACATGGCAGTGGTGTCTCATGTGAACCGGCAGGGAGGTTCTCGTTCGCGCACCCTAGACAGGCATGCGCGTCACCTTCTCCTGTGGTCTCAGAGCAGATTCCTACCTCTAAGAGCGGTTCATGTCCCAGGGGTTCTGAACCTCGCAGCAGATTTTCTGTCGAGACAGAAACTCAGATCGGGGGAATGGATGTTGAACCGCCAGACGATGGCCCTGATCTGGGAGGTTTTTGGAGAGGCGGAGGTGGACCTCTTTGCATCTCAAGAGTCGTCCCAATGCCCGCTTTGGTTCTCCCTGAGTCCCCCGGCCCCATTGGGGATAGATGCGTTCGCTCACCCTTGGCCAACGCAGAAACTCTATGCCTTCCCGCCCATCAAACTGATCCAGGCGGTCTTGGCCAGAGTGAGAGAGAGCGGAGTCCGCCTCCTCCTGGTAGCTCCGTTCTGGCCATCTCAGCCATGGTTTTCGGAGCTAATTCCTCTACTGGAATCTTCCCCCTGGAGGATCCCGGTCAGGGAAGATCTGCTGTCCCAGCTACAGGGCAGGATATGGCATCCTCGCCCAGACATGTGGAAGCTGTATGTTTGGCCGATCAGAGGCCGTCGGCATTAAGCTCTGGTCTCCCAACTGACGTTCAGGAGACCATTGCGAGTGCTAGAGCCCCTTCTACAAGGAGATTATATTCTTCCAAATGGAGGGTGTTTGAGACTTGGTGCTTAGCACATGATAGGAGCCCAGTTAACTGCCCTGCTGGTTCAGTACTGGAATTCCTGCAGGAGAAGTTTGCTGCTGGAGCAGCCGCTACCACTCTCAGAGTTTATGTCGCGGCTATTGCAGCGCATAGGGAATCGGATGAGATTCCCCTGGGCAAATTAAGGTTAGTTTCTGCCTTCATGCGTGGGGTGAAGCGCCTGAAACCGGCTCGCTCCCCTAGAGTTCCCTCATGGGATCTTTCTGTTGTCCTAGAGGGTTTGACGAAAGCCCCCTTTGAGCCCTTGGAGTCAGCTCCGGAGAGGATTCTGACTCTCAAGGTTTCTCTTTTGTAAGCTTTGTCCTCATTAAAGCGGGTGGGAGACTTACAAGCTCTTTCTGTTAGAGAGTCTTGCTTGGACTTTGCCCCTGGCCTGGTCAAAGTTTCCTTGAGGCCGAGACCAGGGTATGTCCCCAAGGTTCTTTCCTCAACTTTCCGCTCACAGGTAGTTAACCTTAACGCTTTCCACCCTCCTCCATTTTCGTCTGAGGAAGATAGGAAGCTTAACTTGCTCTGCCCAGTTCGTTCTCTTAAGATATATGTAGACCGCTCAGGCGGTTGGAGGAAATCTAACCAGCTTCTGGTTTGCTTCGGTGCTAGCCGCCGTGGGCTTGCTGCATCAAAGCAGAGGATTTCTCACTGGGTCACAGAGGCTATCTCGTTGGCTTACGGGGTGCGTGGCTTGCCTTCACCTCTTAGCATTAAAGCACATTCCACCAGAAGTGTAGCATCTTCTCAAGCTCTTTTCAGAGGAGCACTTTTGGAGGATATTTGTGTTGCGGCAGGCTGGTCCTCTCCGCACACTTTTGTAAGGTTCTATAGCTTGGATCTTGACATGACCCCGGGTTCCCAGGTTCTTTCTGTTTGAACTCATTTCGGTTGTTGTCTCTTTTATCTACCAGTTATAAAAGCGCTCTAGCTTGGCGAGTTTGGTAGTCCGTTCCCACTGCGCTTTCCGCAGCGTTGAGTAAACCTATGAAAGAGAACGTCTCTGGTTACTTGCGTAACCTATGTTCTCTGAATAGGGAACGAGACGCTGCGTTAGCGGCCAAGCTCCTCGTGCTGCTGACAGTTTCTTTTCGGCAGAGAAATCTGAGGAGCAGATGGCGCGCGCGAATATGTAATGATGCGACGTAAGAGCGTTGGGGCGGAGCCATATCGCGCGGACGCCATCAGCCAATGAATTGGCGTGATTCTATAAGGCTTCAGACAATCGGCACATTCAGAGAATATCCCACTGCGCTTTCCGCAGCGTTGAGTGAACCTATTCAGAGAACATAGGTAACGCAAGTAACCAGAGACGTTTCGCCTGGTCTCCTCAAAGTTGCGTTGGGTTTTCTCCTCAGCGTGAAGGTAAAGAGGTCCATCTATCAGTTTTACATGTTCGTAGAGTTAGTTTGTGGAGTAAATAAATAGGCCATAATCTGTGTGTTTACACAGCCTTTTAAAAAATGGCGGGTGCTGGTGTTTCGCGTGCGTTCGGCCAATCAGCAAACACTAACGTCACGGATAGTTCCTATAGCGCTAGTTAAGACCGACTCTGAAGCAGGAGCCAAATTAGTTCCTCCAAAACGAGTTCCTAGAACTAAAATCGTTCCTTGTTTCTGCGGTGGGAACGAACCAAAATCCAGGAACTTCCACCAATGGTTCTAGGAACTATGAAAAGGTTCCTCCGGTGCGAAAGCCCCTAATAATACACTTTAATACCTCCAGGCAGCGGTCCTGCCATCTGCGCGCCAGCATCTCCAGGAGAGGAGGCCTGAACTTATCCAAACCCAGAAGATCAGGAAGCATGACACAATGCATGGCGGCCAGCTGACTCCAACCTACACAAACACACAACCACACAGAGAGTCAATCACAGCGATACACAACAGCCCTGCAGATCTGAAGCCCGGCCTGACAGGACCCTAGAAAAACACGAGCAACGTTTCAAATTCATGATGAGCAACATCCAACACAGAGTCACATATATCAGAAATATATGGAACAGCTTTTCGGAAAACTTCTGAGGAGAGAAACTTCAAAGAAATTACATTTCTTTGTGAAACGAGATCAACAAACTTACCTTTAGGGAAATATTCTAACAACTACTGTACATTCAGGCCATCGCTTTATATTGACTGATTAACAAAGACACATCTAGACTGGATCTCTAAGAAGGGAAAGAAGTGCGAAGCAGAAACACTGAAGCATTGATACAAAAATACAACATAAAATTTACCACCATGTATTCTTTTAAACAGCGTGCGGAAAATTTTTACATGGAACATATTTGGCTCTCTTTTGAATTAAATTTTTTTTTTTTTATAAAAACACTTTACAATAAGGTCTCATTTAAATTAAAACAATAAAAAAAAAACAGTGTACAGTATATACAGTACAGAAAGAACTGCTTTAAGGATTTAATTCTTTCACTCGTAAAGATGTTTATTAAAACACTGAGGATCTGAAGATAAACGTGTGTGTGTATAAAGTAAGCATGCAGTCCAAGACACTTACATTGACACAGACAGAAAAACAGACAGACAGAAAACGACTACAAGCACGAGGTACAGTAGAATAGTGAACCTAGAGACAGAACGAGTCACACACACACACACACACACACACAGGCACAGAGTGCGAGGCGGACGGAAAGCACAGGGAGAGAAAAGGAGCCCGGCTAAAGAAAGAGGAAGAGAGAGAGAAAGATTGAGAGAGAGAGGCCTTTATTCAGAGAGAATACCTTCATTGACTGAGGGGGAGTGAGACACTCCTGAAGCAGAAGACGGAACAGCGACGGCAGCTTGAAAACAGAGGAAAAGAGCCGTGAAACAGAAAGAAAGAAAGAAAGAAAGAAAGAAAGAAAGAAAGAAAGAAAGAAAGAAAGAAAGAAAGAAAGAAAGAAAGAAAGAAAGGCCTCCAGCAGAGTTAGTAGAGTAAAGCGGCCGTTATTAAATGAAAATAAACTGAATACATCGGCACTGAACTCACATGGACACTTTTCATAGAAATGAAAAATTAGTAACTAATTGGTTGTGTGACTATCACAAAAAAATTCTAGATTTTATAATTATTATTAACTATGGTAACAGTTTCCACAAAATACAACTGGTATCAAAACCAATATTTTAGACAATTTTTTTTATAAATGTATAAGAATAATTGGTGTACAATAAGCTCTTATTAGTTAACATTAGTTATTAACTAACATAAACAATGAGAAATACATTTGTTGCAGTATTTATTAATATCTTTGTTAATGTTAATGGTCCATAATAATATTAACAGATACTTCTGATTTTATTTCATGTATTCATGTTGAAATTAATATTAACTAAGATTCATAAATGCTATGAGTATTTTTTATTGATAATACTTGTGAATGTATTAACCAATGTTAACAAAAGGTACTTTTTTGTTAAACATTACAGTATAAATGTATTTTAAAATAATTTTTAGACAAATGCCACTGTATTAAGTGCAAAAATGTTAAATTCTATTTAGTTAATACGGGTCCATAAAGCAGCATGAATAAAATCTGCTTCAATAGTTTTTAATATCAACTTCCACAAAAGTAGTCAGTATTTGCCCTAAAACCGGATCATCAGATATTAATAAACGCTACTAAAGCTTTCATTATATTCCTCTTATTATAGTGGTTTCCAGATGGAAACTTTTATTAGCATAGTAAATATTTGAGCTGAAAAGCATTATACTGAAACCTGGATAAAATATGGCTAATGAAACAAAAGTTTTTCAATTGAACCTTTTAAACTGATACTTTGGTATATATATATATACACTGTGTGAATATATTAGAGCGGCACGATTAATCGTTAAAAGATCTTGATCTCAATTCAAACACCCACACGATCTCATTCCTAAATTACAACAATTCTCCTCTGTCTATTTATTAGAGATATGAAACAGCTTCACAAACAGCCTTTTCAACCACACCGTTTCATTATTTCTGTCTTACAATCATTCATATGATCACAGAAGCACTGGGATAAAAGATTATAGTTCAGATATAAACACTGATGTCTACAGTAGCGATCAAAATAGAGTAAATCACCTTTAGAAAGTAACTTGATGCTTCAAATTAAGATTGTATTAATTACATCGTTAACGACAAGTGACTGTTAAAACGTGTGTGTGTCATTGAATCATTCATTCGTTAGATTAGTTCAAAAACACTGAATCATCCAGTGATGAAACAAGTCTTTATGAGTGAGTCATTGAATTATTCACTCAACTGACTTAGAAAAAAATCTAATTAATCAAAAAAATTTAATAGACTGAAGTAATTAACATTTTGTCAATTTATCAATTTATCTCAATTTATACAGAATCATGCTGCTCTAATATATTTATATATATATAAATTGAAAACCAATAATAATATTGCAATATTTCCATACAAGCCATTACTCAAGTGATCCAAAACATTTAAAATTGACAATTATGAGCAAGAACTACAAATCCCATGAGCGCTCGAGAGAGAGAGAGAGAGAGAGAGAGAGAGAGAGTGGAGATATACAGATAGAGAGAGAGAGAGAGAGAGAGAGAGAGAGAGAGAGCAAAGCCATGCATGCAGACAGAGAGACAGGGATCCGCTGCACCTGCAGTGTGGAGAGAAATCCTCAACAAACAAACAAGTGGAAAGTGTTTTTCTACAAGCACACCATTCTCAGTAAGTAGGGTTGCCAACTGTCCCGAATTAGCCGGGACGTCCCGTATTTTGAGCCTAATTTATTTGTCCTGTTTATAGACGGCTACGCTGATCTGACCACTGACTGATACAACAGCAACACGACACTTGAGGATGATCACGACACCGGTCATCATCCAATCACAGCGCTCCCTCACACGCATCAGACCAGACCATAACAAACTCTACATTGAGAATTAATTATTCTTTTGGGACAAATCATTGTTTGATTTCGATCCGGACTCGCGCTAACGGCTAATCCCTTCCACTGTCCGGCCAGCTTTGATTTCGGCAAATCAGTTTTGGTGAATTCAAACTACGTGATTATTATTGTTCATGAGTCCGACATCGGCCACGCAAGAACACATGAACTCTTCCTCAGGGAATCATATGCGGACGTCATTTGCTGCCCAAGAAACATTTCTGATTATTATTAATGTAAAAAAAAAGAAGAAAAGTCAGGATCCTTTTGGGGTTCACACTGAAAAAAAATTGGAGTAGGATTTACTTGAAAAAAGCTAGGCAACTTTTTTCACTCAGAAAATGCTAGTAAATTTACAAAGATTTGCCAAGTAAAAACCTAAACATATTTATCAGTAGCTTTAATTAGAAATCTTTAAGTTAAATTTACTTGGAATATGGAATTAAGTAAACTTTACTTAACCTAGTTAAGTGAAAGTAACAAAGAAAATAAGTAATTTTAACTTGGCTAGTAAAAGGTTGATTAATATCGATTTAGTTGAAATTTCCTTTGCATTACATTTCACTAAAACAATAATATTGAATTTTATTAGTCATTTGTAATATGTGCTTTACTTAGATCATCTAAGTAATTTATATTACATCATGTCAGATGTTAAGCATCATGTGAATGCAAAGACCTCAATACTGGGTAGACGATACACAATGGCGGTAACATTTGATGGGTCGTTTTTGTGTTTGAATGTGTCACTTTAAGCAAAAAATTTACTCGAAATGTCACAAAATGGCAAGTTACTAATACTGACAACAAAAGCAATGATAAAACAGTGTAAATACAGCTGGAAACCAGTGAAAAATCAACCTCATTAATTATTCAAGGTCCAGTGCATGATGGGAACCCCAGTATCAGAAAAGTTGAGTAATTTTTACTTAATTTTAATGAGTTGATATTTACACTTTCATTTCTACTCGCTTGAATTAAGTACTGATATGGAATTTACTTAGTTTTTTTTTCAGTAGTATTTACTTCACCAAAAAATCATTTTTTACAGTGATGTAGATTTATCCGAAATAAAAAAAGCTTTTGTAACATTATAAATGTCTTTACTGTCACTTTTGATTACTTTAATGCGTCCCTGCTGAATAAAAGTAGGCTATTACTTTCTTTAATTTCTAGTGTATAGTGTTACAAAAGTTTTCTATTTCAGATAAATGCTTTGGTTTGTTTAATGTGACTTTTTTTGTGTGACCTTTTAGAATTAAATTGTACATAAATAGGTTAAGCCAAACAAATGTGTTTATGTCTGAGAACCTTTTAAACACATACGACTGTGTGATACCGTACACATATTTTGAGTGTCCCTTATTTTCCTGTAAAGACCCACGATTGTCCCGCATTTTTCTTTAAGGTTGTGATCGTAAGGTTGGACAAACGTGCCGTCCGCAGGGAAATATTTTTTCATTATTTTAAATATGAGGGAAGAACAAAAACAAATATGAATTAGTAAATTATTAGTAGTAAATAAACGCAAACTACAGCTACGGGCTTTATTTCACGATACAAAACAACAAATAATTTTTTTTTTTTAAGAACACATTTTTAGGAAAGAAAAAAGTGCCCTAAATATAGAAAGCAATCTTTGTAGAATGAAAACAAGAAATTTATTTTATTTATAAAAAGGTAAATCTGTCGGTTGATGATAAAATACATTTTTAAAAGAAATGCATTTCTGTAAATATCATAAACATCATGTAAATTAAGTATTTTGCACTATAATGCAATTTTGTGGACTGCTTATTTGCTACCATTAAAGTCACCAAATAATAATAAATAATAATAATAAGAATAAAATAACATACATTTTTGTCAATATCGCACACCCCTTATGCAAAATCGAATTTATATTTACTGCATTTTAACTCTTGCATTAAACATTATGAATCTACCTGACAACAACTTAGTCAAATCATGGTTCCTGTTTGAAAAATTAAATATATATTATTTTTTTAAATAAAATAAAATAGGGTCAGTCTGAGTTTGTGTGTGTGTGTGAAGCTCTTGTTTCAAAAAACAACTTAGTATTAGTATTTATTTAAATAAATATCAATAAATGCGGCTCAGTATCAGCATATTGTTTAACGGTTAGTATTAGCCTACTAGTAATGCTGTCTTCAATCAAGTTTTTATTTACATTTTAAGACATGAAAAAGTGTGTATTTTAAAAAGGCAAGGCTTCAGCACTTCATGACAATAAAACCATATTTGCCATCAGTTTTCCTGTGCTAAAGCTAACCTACAGGCTAAGCCTTCTCCGTAGCGCACAGCGAGATCTGCATTTGTTTCTCTAAATCCCTCGTTCTGCCGGCACACGCTCAGCTTTTATCTCGGCACGCGATTAAAAGAACGACTCCATTAAAAAACACTTAATAACACAACCTGAGCACAGTTTCACAAACCCGTCCGGATCAATACGAGGAAACGAGAGGAGGGAGAAAACGCTACACGCGTTGAATAACTTTCATTATGTGTACAAACCTAAAGAGAAGTGTTAGATCAATATTCTCAACACATCTCAGAGGACCCTCTCTCTCTGTGTGTGTGTGTGTGTGTGTGCGAGATAAAAAATGAATCATAACGTTCTCCTTCTCTAAACGCAATCTGGTGCGGCGTGCGAATTCATCGGACAGGCGCGTGTCAGCACGCCGGACACGGAGGGCTAATGCTCCTCGGGTGAAAGGCTTTAGCATGAGAAAGAGACGCTGCAGGGCCTTCTGGTCGAGGAGAGGAACACAACACCACACCACACCACACCACACCAGCACTTCCCCCGTCAATGAGCCCGACAGGCGTGTGGCGTGAGCAGCGCAACACAAGCCATTATTCACACGCCTCCTCCATTGTGGCCCGACAATAGCAGCTCGGGACGGGGGACAAATTAGGGCACGTGTTGAGGAAGAGTGTG